TTTATCTTCTTTACTAAATATTCATTGTTTGTCTTATACTGAAAATCCTTCAGTAGTTTTTTCCTAGTAATTGACATGCTGAAGCATTCGTCAACATTGGATGTGAGGCGATTTGCCAGGGACCACTCGTAAACTCTATCTACGTCATTTTGTAGGAAAATCACATCTTCATGACTTTTGATTTCCTTGAATAATTTAAAATCATCCGAATAGTGCACATTGCAAGTCCTGAACTACTTCTGGCAGATCATCTATTAGTAATAAAAAGAAGAAGGGTCCTAGATTGGACCCTTGGGGTACACCAGATCTTGTGAAGAAATCTTTTGATTCCCATCCCTTATAAACTACAAACTGTTTCCTGTCTATAAGATACGAAACTGACAGCTTCAAGAGTCGATCTGAAAGCCCAAAAGTGTATATTTTTTTCAACATAACCTCATGATCAACCTTGTCGAAGACTTTACTGAAATCTGTGAAAATGATATCTAGTTGACTATTATTTCCGACAACTTGATTTGCCTCTTGTATAGAAGTTGTTAGGTTAGTTATACCTACTTATACATTTTGTATGAGAATAAAAAATAAATAATCGAAAACCAGATAATGTATTTGATCAATAACCATATAACAAATTACCTATACCAGAATACAAATCGTATGAAGTTTTCAAGACCATTTAGAATCTTTCTTTTTTCTTTGGATATTCTTCGTTGAATTTCCATGTTTCACCAAACAAAGATATTTATTTTGTTGGTTAACTTGATAATTGTGAATTTTTGGAAATAGGCAGTAAGCTTGTTTTGATGCTTTTGGAGTTTCATTGATACAGATATGAATCTACCGATTTTTTTTGTGATTTTTTCAAAAAAATGTAGAGTGCAAATAATCATTTTGTTCGTAGATGGCCCTGTGAATCAAGTATTATCGAAATAATATATCAATACCAGAAGAAAATATGATATCGTTTTCTCAAAGATACTTTGAAAGATTCTTTCATATTATTCCATATCAGAAAAAGAAAACTCTCAAAATACCAATTCCAAAGTATATTATATACAAGATATCCGACTTCATAAGGATTAAGGTTCATTTGAGGAAACTGAAATTATACATTCAATGAGAAGATTTTAGCGTACGAAACGTTGAGATAAATTATAATTTCCCAGCTCTTGTTTCAATTGGCGAACTTATTGAATACGAAAAATTACTGATAAACAGAACATATTGCTTTGTGAAAAATAATTTGAATACATGCAGTAACTCATGGAAGATAATTGAAAAGTTTGCTCTTTCCCCACACCTGTTTAAAGTTCTCCGTTAAAATTTTTATATTTTTGAGATTGTGGAAGAGAAACGGCCCAAATCTTTTTCGTTCTCAATCTTCCATTTATTTCCTACAAAACTGTATTTCATCTGCAATTATCTGTAATGGATAATAACTGTTACTGAAATGTTTTTACTAAGTGGATACATAAATTAATGAAATTGAGGTTACTTTCATCTGAACCACGATAAGAAACCATAAAAGTTTGTTTTTATCGTTACTTTCAATTGTTATTTCGTTGAGTGCATGAATGTGGATAATGAATAGCGCTGATTCTAATACTTGCTCAGAAGCTATTAATATTTTTCCAAAGTTAGGAATATTTGTTTTGTAACGAAATTTTTTGATAACGCTTTTTGGGTACAGCTTTGTGTCAGGGATTGTTGTCAATTATTTTCCACAGACAATAACTCTGAAACATTCCGAAGTTAAATCCCTGGTTCTTTATTATACTAGTAAACAAATAAGTGGAGATAACGAAACTATCATATGAAAATTGCGATGAGTACATATTTTTTGTGATTTCCTGCAGTAAATTCAGTAAAATTATTATGGAAGCTATTGCGTGTCATTGTTCAATAAGAACAATTTGAATGAAATTTTGCGCTTGGTAACATTGCGAAAATTATTATTGAAACATAGTTTGTAGTATCATTAATAAGACATAGATATTTACACACGATAATGGAAGTTGAATTGAGTAATATTGAAACTTCATTCAGTTGTATGATATACACTTGAACATAATCACAGAATCGATAATGAAATTACTGAACTGAGTGGAATTAGGCCTCTTTTGCCTGATATGTAGGGTACTGTAACAAAGTGAAAATCTGACGGCATGCTTTACTAATCTACATGAAAAAGATGTCACTTATAGGGAACATATAAGACCGAATAGTTTTTTTCAAAATAGGTCGAATTACAGCTTCATACAGTTTTAATATTCTCCTTTACTTCCTAGGAGCTCAGGAGTCCTCAATGAACCATTTTATTAGTTATGATATTCGCCTACAAGTGGAAGTTGTGCTTGAAAAGCTACTATTTTTCACTAAGACGATAATACCCACTAGCAATGTATTTGAAGAAAGGCAGCTTCGTACTGAAAAAAAGAGTTTGGGACAACAAAGCATGGTAAATCTAAATATCAGACAGATACAACAAACAACAAATCTTTCAGATCTTTAAGATATTGCCGACTTTGAAATCAATATATCTGCAGATTTCGCATGGGGTCTTCCATCCCATGTGGTCACCTGAATCTACACTGCAATAATAAGGCCTATGTTAACGTACGGAGCCATTGCATGGGGACCAAAAGTTCTACAAGCAACGGCCATCCAAAAATCACATCAAATACAGCAACTGGCTTGTTTAAACATCACAGGAGCCATGAGAACAACACCAACCGCTGCAATGGAATTAATTACTGGTCTGACCCCTCTGCACCTGTACGTTAAGTAGGTTGCGTTAATGGCCATGTTACGATTGCGCACGTCTGGTGTAAACCTTGAAGCAGGAATGGATCAATTGAGGCTGAGCGTTTGCAACCTCTGCTGCAGGCAACCGGTGATGCAATTTAACCCAGGTAGGGTTCGATGAACCCTACAAAATACAAATAAAACAGATAACAGAGTCAGATGATACAAATGCAATACGCATATATACAGACGGCTCAAAAGCCAAAGAAGGCTCAGGATGTGGCGTGTACTTTAGATCACTAAGCCACTAAGTGAGGAATGGGAAAAAACATAACAATCTGCACTGACAGCAGACAAGCCCTATTAGCCTTAAACAGACAACGTGTTACCTCAGGGCTAGTACTAGACTACCACCAAGATTCAGCCTCGATAGATAATAACATTATCCTGAGGTGGGTTGAAGGGCACGACATGAGTAAAGGTAATCGCATTGCCGGCTCTTTAGCCAAGGGAGCGGCTAGACTAAGAATTTTAGGACCCAGTGGCACCTACGACCTGATGACTTCAACTATTGCGAAACTAGCCAAATGTTACACCCATGTTCTATCCCTAAAGAGATGGGATGGAATCAAAAGATGCAATCTTGCCAGGATTACTCTGGGCGATCCTGGGAAGCTGGCGCCGAAGAAATATCTGACGAATACCAGGAAAAATTTACGCTCAACAGTAGGATTTATCATTGGCCATTGTCAACTAAGGAAACACCTCCATAATATGGTGTTAGTGGACACACATCTATGCATAGAGTGTGAGTCTTGGCCTACCCCTACCGATATAAAGGAGATGTCTCCCAGTGACCTGTTCACCTTCCTGGAAAAGACAGATTGGACGATAACGTAGGAGGAAAATTCCTCGGGAGGATGTACAATGGGTTATATGTGGACTAAGTGATGTGGGCCTACACTCATTCTCCCAATTCTTCAGACGGATCTGGAGATTTCGCCACGGAGATGAATAGTTTGAAAAAGGGTTCATGTCTGAAGAAAATGATGCACTCATTATATTATGTGGCCCTAGTAGGTTTTCGCATATTGGATAATACCATACGATTTCTTTTTCTAGTGTTTTCTTTTGTTGGCAAGAGAAGTCTCTTCGCACCGTATATGAGAACTATTTTTGAGTCAAGTCTGCATTCGAGGTGACTTTTTTGAGGAATGTTGGATAAATCGGAAATAATAGTTTTCATGTGATAATTTTTTGTATGATGATACAATCTACCCTCCTAAAGATTCCATCGAGAGAATATTTCACATCTGAAGTTTTATGATCATGCAACCATTTCCATGTTCTTATACGTATTTTATCCTTTCAAATCTGGACTAACTGGACATCTGTCTATGAGTCTCGATTCTATTGTTCTAGTTCACTGTCATTGATGAACGATATTGACGTTACTACCTACAAAAGTTTTAAATACGAATGGTGCAACGAGTTATTGATGAGGACAAGGGAATTTGTTAGTTGTTGATAAGTTGCATTGAATAATTGTCAAATGGTTAGGAGTATCTTGTTTATCTGTGCTCATAACGTTGAACGAGCACGAATGACATTCATGAAATTATACACGAAATATATGTAATGTTAATAAAGTTCACTTTGATAATAATATGCGGTAGAAAAGGCCTATTTTTGTGCTGATAAGATGATGTACAGATAAGTGCAGGTTCTATTTTGAATTATATTATAAACAGTAATGCCATTTACTATTTGTTTGGTGAGAGCTTTCAACTGTTCATAAATTTCCATCGAAAACAACTTTGTAATTTCACTTAACCATAAATTTTCAATGTACGCTTTAAAAAACACCTATGTGGGTTTGGTATCCATTCAGAATCAATGAAAAGTTTAATATAAAGTTAGTTATACCATTGCCAAAAAGGATGAAGAAGTTGGAAAAACAATTTTACACAAAGTTTCACTTGCTGTGAAATTTCCAAAATACATTTATCTTGACTAGTTCAAATTGCTTTGTAGACTATTTTATAAAATTGATGTACAAAAGCTGCGCATTTTTATTTTGGTGAATGAACTGATTCAACTTGTGATTAGAATAATTGTTGGTTTCTCAAAACAGTCATTTCAACTCATTATTCAACTGTGTGAAGTTTCAATATATTTTGCAAATACTCACTTGATTAATGTGCAATGTCGTTGGTTAATCGGTCAGAATTATCAACCATTTTTTTATTTCACAGGTACAACGAACGATTCTCATATTATCCAACAAAACTTTTCAGCTGCCTTTGGAAAAGAGCGAACAGTAATTTTTGTGTTGTTTCAATAGTCAACGTTTGGCTGTTCCCTAAAAAAAGTGCTTCGAAAGTGTCTTTAAAGTGCATAAACATGAAGGGAAGAGAAAAGATTTGTGCGAAATTGTCCAGTACCTTTTTGAGAAAGTGGTGTAAGTATTATATTTTGATTATTTTTTATCCATGAAGTCGTTGGAGAAAATTAGTGCCTGGAAAGTTGTTGACCCAAAATACTGATATATGTATATTATTTTTTATGTACGACCGGGCGTAAAGTAGCACTTTATCGCCTGGATTTGAGGGCGTGAAGTTACAGTTTAGCGCCCGCGGACTACTTTATCGCCTGGCGGGCGATCGGGAATTTCAATGTCATATCTACGTTCCGATAGTTTCAATAATTGCAAAATTAGTGAAACATAAGTCTGAAATATATAGGAGTGCATATTACGAGTCGAGAATCCAGCAATCATTATCATCATATTATCAATATATCTATTGTATTTGGTAACTCATAAAAAGCTATCAATCTCGCGTATCTACTGATATATCTATTATCATGTACATGTACATTTCGAAAGTGACAAAAGTCACAGAGATATCGATCGAAATTAAATGACAATTAATGAAGCGAACTCAACAGGAAATGAAATAAAATAAACACTTATATTGGAAGTCAGTTCCAAATATTGTCTCTCTCAACTGGCCCGCACTCAATTCTGATACATTTTTCAATTCTTTTTCTATTATTGTTAGCCACTCTTCTATGTTCTGGAATATTTATTTCACGGCAGGCTTGCCATATTCTCCCACAAAGTTCTAGCCGATTTCGTGGCCTACACTTGTGAATTATATTTTTGACAGTTTCCCAGAAGTAAAAACCCATTGGAGTTATGTCAGGAGAGCGACGAGGCTATTGTTTATATGGGCTATTTCTACCAATCCAACGTATTGAAAAATGAGTTTATTGTATCGGATTGAAAGTGTCCTTATACGACGAAACTGCAGTGATGTTAGTTACAAAATATAGTGGTAAAAACATAGAAAGTATTATTTCTCATTTTTCATGATGATATCTTACCACGTAGTAACGGCTACATCTATCAATAAAATTAAATTCTTTAACCACTCTCGAACCATCTGAAAATTATGAACGGAAACTCCGTATATCTGAAAGTACATTTCCTGTCACTCACACGAATCACGCATCTTCAATTCAAATATTATTCACAAAGCTCTTTTCTGGATAACGAATATACTTTGCATCAAAATCTATCTGCCTAAGCCCCAGAAAGGAATTCCATACCGGAGATGACTCTCCATAAGTGAATAGTATGCATTTATTGCTGCTGAAAATCCCTGTTCACGAGATATGACATTTATGTCAATACAACCAGAAGATAATTCTTTTTTTAAAGCAGTAATTTGCGTATCAAATTTTAAATTACTGTCATAGAATATACCAAGAAATTCAGTTACAGACTTGTTCTAAGTCCCACTTGAATGTTATCGGATTTGTTTTACTAACATTCAGCTATAGCACATTCGATTCACACCATTTTTTCATTTTTTGTAAATCTGAGTGGACAGACCGAGTCAAAGTATCAAGATCTTTATTTCGTCAAAGTACCGTAGTGTCATCCGCAAACAAGGTAAATGCTCCAGATATATCAAGTATATCAAGCAAGAATGAATATATAGCAAGAATGAAATTGAGTCTAGGACTGACCCCCGAGGAACTACGCGTACAATTTTTTCACTATCAGAAGTATTGTTGCTCAATGTTATTTTTCGACTTCTACCAGTAATATAAGATCTGAACCATTCTAAGGCTGTTCACCGGATTCCATAGTGGAAGAGTTTTGCAATGAACATGATTTTTCTTGGGGAATTTCTATCATTTGAAAAATTCCCTTGGGTCCAATAGCAGACCTCTTCTGATTTTCTCTACTTAAATTTAATTGCCCAGACCTTTCACACAAACTGATTTGAGGTTCATCACGAATTGAAACTAAAACATTATCATCATCATGGTACCTTCGATTTCGATGTGGATTATCAATAGCGCGATGATGCTTTAATACACTTCCGGTATAAGTAAAAAGTTTACTCACGGAGGCTGCCGTTCCATATCAACTTGTCTGCTACTTCGACTACCATCACCAAATAACCTTATTATTTAAATTTTTTCTGATAAATCGAGACGTTCAGTATGCATTTTGTTACTGTTTTTGACGCATCTACTTTTAAACTGACATTTGGGGTATAATTAGTTCATTAGTTCAATCGAAAACTGTTGATACAAAAAATATGAGTCTGGAACATTGAGAATGGTGATTTTTTATCCAATATAAGACAAATTCGAAACCAACCATATTCAACAGGAAATTGGAAAATTCCTCAAAATTGAAGACATGCTAGTGAAGAAGATTCATTTCGAATAATTTACATTTGGTAAAATAATAATGTTCAAATTCACTCATTTCCATACATTCATTCCATTGGTTTTGACTATTTTATTATTTCAAGTGATCGAAATCACTTGAAGTGATTTCAATCACTTGAAAAATCTACTGTGCTAGCAAAACATGATGTTATATGTTTTCAAAATAAAGTTTGTGGAGATCAAATCGTGAGGTGTAGTTTTTGAAATGTGTATTAGTCATTGAATCATACTGATAGTTATTATGGACATACATACAGAGTGAAATATCAATTTGCACCAAAAAACTAGTTAAAATTCAAACCATTTTCAACAAACATCGATATACTAGTTCGAATAATTCAAGTGAATTTCACATTGAAATACCATTATAGTAATATGAGGGAGGCACCTGAGGTGTAAATGAGATACCAGTACTCTTTATGAGGTTAGGACCATAAAAAATGTTTTTTTCTGTTTTGTTATGTAGGTGGCTGTAATTTCAAATCTAGATATTGTTTTCAAATTTAAACAACTTTTCTAAATAAACTTTTTCAATAATATCGAAAATAAGGGTAGTTTACTCGTGATAAAAATTTATATTTCTCGGTCTACCCTGTACACCGTTTGGAAATTAAGAATTTCGACAACTCAAACGCAAGTTCACTGCAATACACCAATTTTTATTAAAAATAAAATTTTTTGACAAATGGATAATAAAAAAGTTTCCCATATGGGGCAAACTTTTTGAAACTCACTGTATAATGAAATATCGTAAGCCACATAGTTGATTTGCATGTACATAGTTAATTCGTATGTACTTCACAATCACTCACAGATTGACGACAATAAACCAAAACATAGTTGCAGCAGAATTACAAATCATTCATTCTATTTACATAAAAAATAGTCACTTACATTTTGTTTACAGAATATATTCATGCTACTATCATTTTTTTTACCACATAGTCGTATAATCCTTCAACATATCCGCAAGTGAATATCTGTTCTGAGAATCATAATCGCTGAATCAAAGTAATGCTAATCATACGGTAATGAAATCATATTTGATGATTTTTCGAGAGTTTTCAATATCTCAGATTAATTATTTTTTTTATTGAACTTAGGAAAGCTATTATATAGCGAAACACGTGCGGCGGTTTTGTAAACAGGCCAGTGAGAATCTGAAATAGAATGATACTTGAATGAGTTAATAATTGAGTGATTTTCAAAATGCAACGCCCTTTCACAAATCGGAAACAGGCTATACCAATATATATTCAAAAAATACTTTCAATGAGAGAAATTCTTGAAAACAAACTGTTTTCCTATTTGTTGTTTCATATATGAAGAGTGAGGAAGTGTTTTGTGTGTATTTGATTTTTCAGGTTTGAATATGCTTGAAATTATGAATTGATGAATGAAGCCGTATATAAAACTCCTTGTCATTGTTTTATTGTATCAATTTGAAAATTTCCTTGTAGGACGAAACTGCAGTAACGTTAGTTGCAAATACAGATGCTATAAAAATATAGGAAGCTTCATTTCTCACTTTTCAAGCTTGAATTTATCGTAAGTGATATGATAGGTAAATAGAAAAAGGATGTAAGTAGGTTATTTGTGACGGTATTGTATTTTCCAATTCCGTAAAACGATAATCTTTGTTTATATTCGAGATATGTGAAAAAGCTATATTCTACTTCCATTTAATCAAATTAGCATTTGATGGCAGCCCGTTCTAATAATTTACTTACTTGCAGTATTTTACCATGATTTTGTGAATGAAAAGAGAGAGTGCTCATCATTGTGGTCAAATAAGCAATTTTTCAATTTGTCACATGACATCTCCAGAAAAGTGTATCATTATATTTGTTAATTGTGTTTTGAAACAGAGCGTTTCAAATGTTTCGTGTAAGAAAAGAAACTGTGGGAAAGAACTAACCCAGCAACCTCGGTATGCACTACAATTGGAAGTTTAACTATGATTCGTTAATGACTTAGTAAATTGAAAGTGATCGTTTATTCTAATGTTAACAATTTTCAACTAATACGGAACATTATGATTTCAATCTATTCATTTAGGAAATAGATGTAACAATGATACATATTTGATTGTTGAATATACAAATGGAAGAAATTACCGAAGAGTTTGAAAACCTACCAACAAAACCTGTGGTAGAAGCCCATTATATATCGAAGTGGAGTGTAGTAGATTTGCGTAGCCTAAAAACTCAAATTGTCTCCACAATTCATTATCACCCTCAGATGTTAGACCGGTTAAACCATCAATCATGTACATGTTTCGAACCTATATAGGTTCATAATCTGCTAATTATTTAAAAATTATGGAGAAGAAAATTATCACATGTTACCAAGGAATACATAATCACAATGACATGTTAATAGTAATGAAATAGTAATATTTAGTAAAATGACGGAAGTTTATGATTTTTAAATAATTAGCTGATAATGAACCTATATAGGTTCGACACATGTACGGATTTATGGTTTTACCGTTCTTACATCTGAGGGTGATAATAAATTGTGGAGACGGCTTCGAGTTTTATGTCTTGCAAATCCACCAGCAAAAAGCGTGTTACATACAATCTGGAATAAATAGTTATTGATCATTATCATGAATATTAAGTTTTGTTAACATGTCATTAAAATGCGATGGATGATTTAAAAAAAATGAAGACTTCTAAGCTTCTAAGGAGATTTAGTATAGTTTTT